GTAGAACAAGCACATATAAAAATATGCACAAGATAAAGTTGAATACAAATGTATACAAAGTAGTTGAATGGAGGGTATGGGAAGGTGAGCAGTGTTAGTTGTGGGTATCAAGAAAGGCTTCATGCAGAAGATGGTATTTGAGCTGCATTTTAAAGGAAAAGGGGAGCTTATGAGTAGAAGTAATGAGGGGGTACATTCCAGGTGTATGGAGCCAGCCAGTGCAGAAGTGTAGAGATGGGAGATGGGGTGCTGTATATGAGGAACAGCAGGCCAGTTTGCAGGAGGAAGAGTAGTGTCCAATAAAGCTTGGAAAAATAGGTTGTAGCTGTAATGTGTAGAGCTTTAAAAGCTAAACAGAGGAGTTTCTATTTTATCTTAAGAGGCAATGGGAAGCCACCAGAATTTATTGACCATAGGGGGGTCATGTAGTTAGATTTGTGTATAAGAAGAATTATTTGGCAGCAGAATGTAGGGGTGGACTGGCAAGAAGAAAGACAAGTCAGGGACACCATTTAGGAGGCAAGATGTGATGAGGGCCTTAACTAAAGCTCAAAACTGCAGGACTAGAGAGAAGGGGTTGGCTGCAAGAGATGTAAAGATAGAAATGACAAAATTTGGCTACTAATTGGATATGTGGGATACAAGGAGAATGAGGAGTGGAGGATAATGCTGAGGTTAAGAGACTGGAGGGATGGCAGTGCCTGAAGTAGAAGTATGGAAATTTAGAAGAGGAGAGGTTTTAGAGAGGAAAGTGCTCTCCTGGGACTCTCCCAGACCTATTCTACCTGCTATTCATGCTGCCTTGACAGGATATGGGGAGAATGTTTTCATCTTCAGTTATTATTTGAGTATCCAGGGTATAGAATTCTTTGTGAGGTGCTTTAGAATTTATCTTTTCATATCTTTTTCATCAAACATCTATTAAATACTCAATGACTACTCTAATTTGGAGAGACTTTTAGGAGAGAGAGTCCCATAAATACTTTACCTCATCATAAACTGCTTGAGTGACAGCTTGACTTTTTCCAGCAATAAACTGGGGCTGTAACACATATTTCTGCTTAATTATGTGATGTCCTTTTTTAAAGTGATAGATGACATATAATTAGTTGTGAAACTTCTGTGACACATCTTCAGATAAAATCCATTAGACTGTGAGCTCCTTGAGGGCAGGGACTGTCTTCTGCCTCTTTTTGTATCCCTAGCTTAGCCCATTGCGTGGCTTGTAGTAGGCACTTGTATGCTTATCGACTGACTAACTAAAATTTAGACAGTCTATGCCTTCGAGGGGCTCAGAATCAAAAGTAGTTCAGTGAGGATAGCAGTTTCATTAATACAAACAATATTGCAAGGTGAATACTCTGTAAACAGGAAAGCTAGTTCTGTCGGGAAATTGAGGCACATCTAGCGTGCCTATACATAATAGTACAGTGTTTGATTTATAGTCCCAGAGTACCTTGGGGCTGGTGAGGCCATCTGTCCTCTCTTTAGGTAGGACTGCCTCTAAGCCTGTCCAAATAGAGGAAAGGTTTAATTTTTGTTTTAGACATTTAAAATATGAACATTTTTTAAACAACAAACTCTCCAGACAATAAGTATTTATTAAGCACTTGCCATGTAGCAGACATTGTACTAGGCACTGGAACATAGGTACAGTGAATTAAAACAATCCCCACTCTCAACTAGTTTGGATGTTGCATACTGTCAGGATGTCTTACTTTTTAGATTTTACAGATTAAACCCATGACATCAGTGGAGATAAATAGTAAGCGTGGTGTTGAGAAAGGACTGAATTGGCAGTCAAGATTCTGAAGTTGTAGTCACAGATCTACCCCTAACTTTGTGGAACAACTCCCTCCAAATCTCTGAAGCCCTCCTTTGTTGATCTGTAAAATTTGGGGTGATAGGGTTGGACTAGATTGCCTCTAAGGTTCCTTCCATCCGTTTCCTCTTTTATTCTCTTGCATTTTTGACATATGCTGGTACTTAAACATTCACATTCGGTTGATGGCACCTATTACGACCCCTGGGTGAATTACACTCTGCTCAGGGTGGAGTCTACAGTCATGGAACATGGTGCTCTTCCTTTAAATGAGGTAAGTATGAATGGTTTCTGCTACCTCTGCCATAATGTCAGAAATAGCCCTCTGTAGTAGAGCTCTACCTGGCCAACACCCTGTGCACTAGACTTTTCTGACCCTCTCTTCAGCATCTGAATGTTTCTATCCTATGTCCTATTTTCAGGAAATCCAGAGGTAATCTCGTAAATAAGCTACGCCATTGGGATATTGTGAATTTTGATAGAGGCTTTATGGATATGATGCCTTAACACAAAGGAGTCACTTTAACTGTGGGAGTTTCAAACATCCAAGAAGGTCTTTTGCCCCTCAAATTCTAGAGTGTAGTTGTCTACCGACCCATAGGACTAGCCCTATATACATGATTAAAAACATTCTGTCAAAGAGGCAGCTAAATTATGCATTAGGTAGAGTGCTGGGCCTAGAGTCAGGAAAACCTGAGTCCAAATCTGACCTCAGACACTTAATAGCTTTGTGACCCTGGGCATGCATGTCACTTAACCTTTGCCTGCTTCAGTTTCCTCAGCTGTAAAATGGAGATAGTAATAGCACCTGCCTCCTAGGATTATTGTGAGGATCAAATAAGATAATATTTTCAAAGTGTATAGCACAGTATCTGGCACATAGTAGGCACTCTATAAATGTTTATTGTCTTCCTTGTTCCTTCCTTCCTTCCTTCCTTCCTTCCTTCCTTCCTTCCTTCCTTCCTTCCTTCCTTCCTTCCTTCCTTCCTTCCTTCCTGTTAATGAGAAGATAATTTCCAAGTTCCCATCTGATTTAGCATAATATATATATATATATATATACACAGAAGGGATCTTAGCAGTCACAGGATCATAGCATTTGAGCTGAAAGAGTCATCTAGTCCAACTCCCTCATTGTACAGTTAAGGAAAACTCAGGACACAGAGAGATTAAGTGACTTGTCCAAGTTCACATAGGTAATTCATGCCCGAGCAGGGATATGAACCCAGGATTCAGGGCAGGCACTCTTTTCATTGTACTTGCGGATGCTTCTATAATTCTTTGATTCTGTTTTTCTACGATGCAATCCCTCAGTCCTTATGGCTAACATCACCTTCTTACAGCACCTAGCATGGCATCTGACACATAGTAGTTACTAAAATAAATTCATTGAGTTGAAATGTATGTTGTTTTTCCTCCTTTCCCTTTATGATATTACTACAGACCTATTCCCCCAATATTCATCCATACGGAAAGACAATAGCCTCTTCACAAAAAAGAAACTTTAATCACAAAGTATTTTGCTCCAAGTCCACAAGAGCAGACAGAGTTGATTTTAAAGGCTCAAGGACTGGCTCCCTTGTCATTTCTCTATGTCTTTTCAGTTGCAGGTGGGTTAGAAACAGCATCAGTTGCATCTGAGCTCCTAAATCTCTTTGAAGTTAGGCAGCACCCTGGAGTAGAAGAGCTCATCCTTTTTCAGGAAGGGATACAGTTTTGGGAATGCTGGCTCTGTTTTCTCTCCCTTGTGTTCCCTGTGATGCATAACATAAGGAAAACAATGTTTGCTTAACAAGTCTTTGGTATTCACTTCTCTTTACTGAGATTAAACTGTGATCTCATGTTTGTGATAGAACAAATCTCAGCTGCTGGGAGTGGGGGTGGTGATGCTGCAAACATAAGATTAGGGTGAGGACTGAAAGGCCCACAGCAGGAACAGGTGAACTACTGGGTAACAAAGACCCTGTTTAGGACCCAACACTAATCACCAGGTTTTTCCAAAGGTCATTTTATGCTGCTGCTTCTAAGTGCTTAGTTTGTGGCAATATATAATCCATCCTGCTGTATTTCTCTAATCCAGAAATCTGTGAAGGGGTGGTTGCTGGGGAGAGGTTGATTTTAGACCCTGAGAGCTTAGATTTCATCTGCTTCCTAGAGTTCCCAGTGGGGCTGGATGCAACTGTCTTTTGCAGACCCCATTGAAGATGTCAATAAGTTAGTAGTAGGGGCGTGTCCTGCCACAGCCAAGAAGATAGATAGGATGTTGGAATTCCCTACCCCTTGTAGAGAGGATTGGTTTTCCTTTAGGATGAAGAGTCTTATCACAGATGTAAGGGATTGTTTATTCAGTGAAAGACATATTCTATAATAGGATGCTATAGCCCACAGGTTTAGAGATGATCACTAAAACAAGTTATGTTTCTGAGGAGCAGATGGTCCCCTTCATGAGACATCTCCCCTATGTCCACATTGCTGTTGACTGCTTAGAACAAGCCTCTTTGGGAAAGCACCCACATCATTTATGAGTTCCCCAGGTCTCCTTACTGGCAAGGTTGGACACAGTTCTACAGAAGACAGTCTTGGCTGGTTTAGTAGGCCCAGCTGTAGCATCAGAATGTAACAGACACATAAGATTTTTTTTTTCTTAAATGTTGAAACAGCAAAGTCATGCTTCATTTACCTCTTCAAATTGTACGTGTTTCAGGTGAAGAGAAAAGAATCACAGATTTAAAGCTAGAAAGGACCTTAAAATTCTTCCAGCCCAACATCTTCATTTTACAAGTGAGAAAGCCTAAGGCCCAGACAAACTGAGTGACTTACCCAAAGTCCCACAGGTAATAAAAAAGGGCAGAACTGGGATCTGCCTACAAACCCAGAATTCTTCCCCCTGTACCATGCTGCCTCATTTCCAACTTTCTGGAGAAGGGGAAGTTTTTCATTGGGGCAACATGTCACTTCCAGATGTCTGAAGTGTCTGCTTTGGTTTTGCTTTCTACAGAACCCAAAAGAGTTAATCCTTAGTAAATGAGAGAAGCACATGAACACCACCATCACCACCACCACCACCAGAAGCAAGGTTAAACCAATCAGGATTAATGGGGAGGCAGGGATAAGAAAGCATTTCTAATTCTCCTTGCATTCTTTACGCTAGCAGTTTCACCCTAATTAAGATCTAGCCCTAGATTACCAGGTCTCTGTGTCTTGGAGGTGGGTGGAAGAACCTATCCGACATCTCAGCTGGACCCCCTGTTGGAAGGGCTAGTGGACAGGCATTAGGAGGTGCAGGCGGTTCATCCTTTGCCAGCCAGGCCGAGCAGATCAAGAGTAGTCCACTAACTGCTAGAAAAACTCCTGCAACCCAGCCCAGAAAGAGGGCTTCTCCAAACTCCCACCGAGGCACAATGTCAGGGATGTGTTCATCCCAGAAATCCTGGACAGTGCTATAGGCCACCCAAGAAACAGGGAAAAGAGTCGAGGCTGCGGCTACCTCCACCAGCACCCCTGCGAGGAATCGTAGCCACTTCTTCAGTCCCCAGCTGACCCCCTGCAGCTGGAAGCAATCAGAACCAAGGCTGGAGAGAGAAGCCCCAGGAAGCCCAGTCCGTTGGAGGCCAACATGAGGATCCTGGATGCTCGGAACTCCTGAGGCAGAGCCAAGAAGGATTCAAAAGTCTTGCATACTATAGCCCCTTCCTCCTGGATCACACAGACCTCCCAGAGCCCCATGCTCCAGTTCTCCATTTCATTCAGCTCCAAGTTGAGATTCTTCCACAGAGGAACAGCTGTGGTGACACAAGAGCAGATCCATCCAAGGAGAGAGAGAAGCAGTGCCCCCAGCTGTATTTTTCCATTAAAATTCCAGGCCATGGTCTCTCACCCCAGGGAGGGAGGGAGGGAAGGAGGGAGGACAGGGTACTGGTATTTGGGATTTCTCTATGGCTGGCCAGCAGGGCAGGGCTCCCCAGGGACCAAAGCAGAGCAGAAAGAAGCTGTTGCTCATTAACACTTGGTGAGCTGCCTGGTCTTAGTCTTCCAGGAAGCAGCAGAGGCCGGTGGCATAAGCCTGGCAGCTTTGGGACTAATAGGCGTGCCCAAGGTTATGGGAACAGGTTAGGGGGGCGGGGAGGAGGGAATCCCATGAAACAGAAAGAAGCCAAATAGCAAGGGGCAGATGATACTGTGTGTGCTTTAAACTTTTAAAGGTTAAAATCTCCCTCCTCCCGACACAAATCATTAATATACCAGCAGCTACATTCTCCCCACCTAAACTCTCATCAGTTGCTGGGGCAGCATCTACTTGTGGGTGGTGAAGTACTCACCTTCTCCTGCCCCATTCTATCACCCCTCATTTCTATCACTGTTTGCAGCGGCCATTTGGGCAGAGAAGTAATCACCAAGGCAGGACAAATTCCTCTGGCCCCTGCACCTTCCCATCAGTGACCCAGCAAAAGGATCCTCCATCTTTGAGGCAAGTATAGGTAAAAACCTGGAATTTTATGCTGAAAAAAAAGTTTGATCTGGTCAATTTTATTAATACTTGGAAAAAAATATCACTATCATTTTCCAGTGCCTCCTCCACTCCATCCCCAAAGAGAATCTTCCCTTGTATCAAAGTACAGTCAAATAACATAAATCAACACATTGGCTATTTAAAGTAAATACTTCATTCTGAACCTATAATCTACCACCTTTCTGCTGAGAGGGGACACAAACTTCACCATCTGTCCTCTGAGATCACAGAATTGATCAGTGTTTTAAAGTCTTTCACTGTTTTCCTGTGAGCTCTGTGAGAGGAAGAATTGTTTTTTTTCTTTTCTTTACCTTTTTTTGTGTCCCCAAAACTTAGCCCAGTCCCTGGCACATAGTAGGTGTTTAATAAGTGCTAGTCGACTAACTGTCTGACATGATTGTAGACAGCATGTAAGGTGTTCTGGCTTATACACTAATCTATATTCAGATTTTCCCCCTATAAACTCTGTGAGGTACTTGAAGATAGAAGCAAATGTGTTATCTTCAGAAGGGAAAAGGAAGAATTAAAGAGAAAAGAGAATACATTTAATTGAGCCATATTAATAGTGCTAATGTCATGAGGATTTAGATCTAGGATGGACTTTAAAGGTTCTCTGGTCACTCAATCAATAAGCATTTGTTAAGCATCTACTGGGTGCCAGACACTATGCTAAGTGATGTGGGCACAAAGCAACTCAAAAGACAGCCTGACCCTTTATTTACAGATGAGGAAATTGAGACACAGAAAGGTCATATGATGTCCCCAAGATCACACCGACAAGTAAATAGCATTCAGGATTAAAAAAAAATCAGGTTATCTGATTCCAAATCATGTGATATGAGATAGCATGATATGGTGGGAAGAATCTTGGGATAGGCGTTAGGAGACTAGGGTTCTAGTTTAAGTTCTGTCCCTAAGATCTCTTCTGCCGCCAAGAGTCTGTGAAAACCTTCCATTTTTAAAGCACCTTAGAACTCTGAAGAGTTATAAAAAGGATGCTGAAAGACTTTTTTTTTTAACTGTAAGTAACAATTGTTTTCATAAAATCTTGGAAGAGAAGATGTAGAAACTGCCACATGGACAGGTAGTCCAGAGTTTTATGTTAGAACTCCGAAGAATTGTGAATAGAGGTTACTGGTCTGATCAGCCCCAGTCAGACACATTGTACCTTGACCCCAACATAGTCATGGTCCTCTTGGAGAATGAAGGACAATAACCAACCAATCATCTGAAGAACTGTTGTCAAAGAGGGACTAGCTTTGTGCTTGAGGGGTAGGAAAGCTGGGAGCAATGAACGGAAGCTGCAGCAGATTTCAGCCTAATATATGGAAAAAACTACTGAACATTTAAAACTGCCTACAGAGAGAGTGAGTTGCATCAATAAATAATGGATTTCTTCTCCCTCTGGGTCTTCAAGTATAGTCTGGAGGATTTACTACTTTGTCTGGGATGACTGAAGAGCCAATTCCTGTTTAGGTGTGGTTTGGGTGATAGCCTCTGAGGTCCTTTCCAGCCCTTAGATTCTGGGCTTTTGTGATGGCTGATTTCAGATAAGTATGTATTTTAAAGTATTCTGGGGTAGAGTGGTTTGCATTTAAGTCGGCCATTCAGGAAAAAGAAAATCCTGTTAGGATCACAGATCTAGAATTCTAATGGACCTTACATGCCAATTGACTCTCCTTTTAAAAATGAAATTTAATTTTTTTCAATTACCAAAAAAATCTATTTTCCTCTCTTACCACTATCCCTTCCTCCCATTAAAAAGAAAGAAAAACAAAACCCTTGTAACAAATATGAATAGTCAAAACAAATTCCCATATGAGTCATGTTCTAAAATAGATGTCACATTCTGCACCCTGAGTCTATTACCTCTCTGCTAGGAGGTGGGCAAATGCTTCATCCCTCTGGGGTCATTGTCGGTCATTGCACTGATCAGTTTTTCAAAGTTGTTTGTTGTTATAGTGTAAATTGTTCTGTGGTTCTGCTCAGTCCACTCTACATCAGCTTATATAAGTTTTTGCAAGTTTCCCTGAAATTGCTCCTTTTGTTAATACTATTAGTAGTAACAACAACAGCAAGTATCATTATCATTATCATCATCATCATCATCATCATCATTATAGAGACTGGGTCTTCCCCTATCTTGTTCAGAACAGCCACATATAGGTTCAATTCCATTGCTGATTGCCACAAAATCTTTGACATGCTCCATTTTAGAACTGTGCAGATTTGCTTCTCCTTATGCACCATATATTTTAGTTTCAGAATCAGTAGTGTAGACGCCAGATCAGCTTTAGCCCTACTGAAGCTCGAAACTCTGGATCGCTCCATCAGCCTCAGCCTGCTTGCAACAAAATTACAGACCTGTCTGTGCCTGTTGTAGAACACTTGGTCCCTTTGTTATTTCTTACAGCACAATAGTATTCTATTACAAAAATAGCATTCCATTTCATTTATATACCATAAGTTTTTCAATCATTCTCTATTTCATAGGTACTGCCTTAGTTTTCAGTTCTTTGCCACTACAAAAAAGATCTACTATAAATATTTGTCACATATAGATCTTCTCTTCCCTCATTCTTCACTCTCATTGGGGTAAAGGCCTGATAATGGCATTGCTGGGTCAAAAGGTATGGACAGTTTGGTAACTTTTTTGGAAATCCCTGGGTTTTTTGAGTGATCACCAGGTTCTGGAAATTAATCATTTTTCAGGTAGGAGATTCTGGCTCCCTCTCCTGGCCATTCAGAGGTACTGCATTATAAGCATCAGCCATTTGAATTCATGGCAAATTTTAAAAAATTAAATTAGATTTAAAAATTAGATTGAAATATATGTTTATATGATAATAATAATAATTTCATAGCTGGAAATGGTAACCTAGTTATTTTACGGATGAAGAAAATGATCCCCAGAGAGATGAAGTGATTTGTTTAAAGTTACACAAGTAGTGACAGAGTCAATATTCAAATTTAGTCTTTCCATTCCAAGTCCAGCCCTTTTCCCTCTGTGCCATGATTTTGATATGAAGAGGTATTCCATGATGGACCAAGTAATGGCAGGATCAAAGTCAAATTTAGAGGTAGAAAAGAGAGAAAAGTATCTAGGGCTAGGCCTGGCTTTATAAGAACATGCATCCACACAGACTATTGTGATTTCTTAGGGAAGCTTAATCAATTCAGATCAAAGAGTCCATCAGTCTACCACCCATTGCCGAAGAGCAGACTCTCAGAATGGGAAGGGTCTGAGGCTGTATAATCTAAGCCTATACTGGGACAGGAATCTGTTCTATACCATTTTACTCTTTTTCAGTCATATCTGACTTTTTCTGATCTCATTTGAGATTTTCTTGGCACAGATACTGGAGTGGTTTGCCGTGTCCTTCAGCTCATTTTACAGATGAGGAAACTGAGGTAAATGAGGTTAAGTGACTTGCCCAGGATCACAATGTATGAAGCTGGATTTGAACTCAGGTCTTCTTGACTTCAGGCCTGGCACTCTAACCACAGCACCACCTTCCTTCCTTCCTCTATATCATACCCAACAAGTGGTCATTTAGCTTTTGCTTAAAGACCTCCAATGAAGGGCAACAAATTATCTCCCAAGGCAGCCTCTTGCACTTTAGGATTGATCTGTTAGAAAGTTTTTCCTTCCCCTAAGACTAAATTTGCCTCTCTAAAAATTTTATCTGTTGCTCCTATTGCTGCCCTCTGGGACCAAATCAAATAAATCAATAGATTTTCCGTCTGGCCTATTTCTTCTCTCCTCCAGGCTAACCATCCTCGTTCCTTTTATTTGATCCTTACTGACATGAACTCAAGGACTCTTCTAAACAATGTTTCCCAAGGGCAACTAGGTGGCACAATGGATAGAGCACCAGCCCTGGAGTCAGGAGGGCTTGAGTTCAAATACAGCCTCAGACATACAACACTCATTAGTTGTATGATTCTGGGCAAGTCACTTATCCCCAAATTGCCTCACAGGAAAACACAAAACAAGTTTCCCAGCAGACTACTCCCATATTATAGTTATGCATCCATTAAAGAGTATAGAGAATACAATAACCCACCATGCTGATTGTTGACATTTTAAAACTTTTATTTAATAAAAGCAAAATGCTCTCAAAGCCTCTCTTGCAACAAATGGTCTCCTACGCACGTCAGTATCATACAAGATTCTTTGAAAGATATAGAATAAAATAACTTCATTTGACAACCTCCTGATTATTAATATCAGGAGAGACATAAAAGGGAGAGATGTATATTTTCCAAACTCATCTGTAAAAAGAGCTGGAGAAGGAAATGGCAAACCACTCCAGTATATTTGCCAAGAAAACTGCAAACAGGGGCTGGAGGAGTT